GAGGAGCTCTTCTCGGTAGAAAGTGATTAGCTCGGATCGTCCTCAGAATTTTTCCAGTGTTGACAAATGATCTGGACTATAGTCGATCAGTTGTTCGAATTTTCTCTTTACTGATCCTACTATGAGTTCATTGTATCCGCTGCAGGAAATAACCATTATGCAGGGGAAGGCCTTCCAGGGGCTGTGCATAGAGAAATATGCAGGCCCTTCGAACCCGCTGGGGATGAAAAAGTCCTCTGGTCATGATATAGACATGGCGACCAAAAGGGGAGGGCTAGAAGGTGGGGCTTTTGTATCTTTCTTGGATTTCGACATTTCTCCTTGGTGGGCTTCTCCTTTCCTCGTATACTGCTTTAGGTGGCCCTCTTTGATAAGGATTTCAATAGTGTCTTTCAAGTGGACGCAATCTTTTGTTACATGGTCGTGGCTACGGTGGAAGCGACAATATTTGCTTTGGTTGGTATTGCTCTTCGAAGTTGTTGGTTTGGGGAATCGGATGCCACCCTGCTTGAATTTGGTGTTGATACATTTCGATAGAATACGCTCGCGGGAAGCGATAAAAATAACCTAAAAATGCAATTATACAAAATCAGCACACACACACACACATACAGAGAGAGAGAGAGAGAGAGAGAGAGAGAGAGAGAGAGAGAGAGAGAGAGAGAGAGAGAGAGAGAGAGAGAGAGAGAGAGAGAATTTATAGTGGTTTGGCTATCGTCCTTGTTAAGCCTATTCCACTCTCTAATGGTTTTCCATTGAAAATTTTTATTCCACTATAGTTTGTGACAAATTACATGATGAAAATATAAAAATCTTCTATCTAGATCCTTTTGACTTATATACAGTATTCAAACGTAATCCTTGCGAAATTGTCTTGAATCTTCCAGCCCCGATAATTTTCTCCGAAGTCTCCATTTTGCAGCAATCTTTCCTCGGTCCTACTAGTATCTTAAGCATTGATCTGTCAGAAGATTGAGAAGAAATACAATTTTTTTTGTAGGATTTCACACAACAATACCAAAGTTATTATGGAGAGAAAAATCTCGTTATTTTCTACTTGACTTATTAAAACCAACCACAACCACACACACCTTACAAACCTCAGAAATCTAAATAAAATCTTTAAAAGAAATGTTAAATACAATAAAAAAATCTCCTCAACAATCACAAATCTAAAAATATGATATTTAGATTCACACAAAAATGGAATTAGTATAAGGTTGAAGATGAAGAGAATCGTTTGTAATAACACTCAAATCAAATTCGAAATTCTTTTGAAAATGAGAGAACAAGTATGTTGTGAAATTTCAAATCAATAGTGGAAGTGTATGTTTTCCAACATCGTGAGAGGTTTTGAGTGAGAAATCTTTTATATGTTGTAGAGATCTACCACAAAAAAGAGTGAAAAGTGGTGTATGATTCAAATCATCAGCAGGATGTATGATTCGAGTAAGAAAATTAAGTGATTTGAATCAATAAGCAAAAGCATATAAGAACCCATGTATGTGATTTGAGTAACACACACTGTGAATTGAATCACATGATTCAATTCATGAAGTCTTGTGAGTCGAATCAGAGTTCTAGGGAAAAACCAAGGAAATTCCAATTCAATGTGATTTGAATTAGACAGTCTTGTGATTTGAATCAAAGTGTTATGATTCGAATCAAACATTTAGGTGATTTAAATCGTGGAAACATGAAATTAGTCCCTGAACTCTCTATGATACTAATTCAAATCGTGTAATAGTGTGATTCAAATAACACTTCCAGAATCTCATTTAGAATTAGTTTTTGCTGGAGTTTACACTATGGAAGAATTAGTTGATCCGACCATCAACTACTCCTCGCTATGTAGCATATTTATTCGTATATTTCAAGAAGAACTAATTAAACAATCAATGGATGAAGATGAAGTTGTATTTTAACCAGCCGCAGAATATGATACAACCTTCAACACACTTCTGGAAATTTGTCAACAAAATGCTCTAGCCATTCATTGACATTTACATTTTGTGTTCCACTTACATTAAGTGTTCATAAAACAATTATTTGTACCAATTACATGGAAAATGATCCAAAAATATACAATAGTACATTTTGTTGTAACATTAATAAACATACATAACTAAACTAAATGGTTTTATTTTTGTGGAGTAACCCTCTTTGTTAGAGTGGTTCTCTTGGTAGTTGGTCCAACATTATTCTTTCCAGTACTTAATCTGGTAGTAGGAATTGGGGATACTCTAGATGTTGATGTCCTCCTAATAATAAACTTTTTTGCCCTTGCATGACTTTCATGATTTAATTTGGATGGATGATACACTTGACTTCCCTGAGTTGCAGGAGTAGTTTGAGTTGGTTGACTAGCTTGACTACCCTGGGTTGTAGGAGTTGCACTTTACAATCAATCTAACTCTTCTCATTTTACTATCAGATCCATCAACTTCACCTTGCTTAAGATTCCTTATCTTCTTTGGTAATCCTGACATTTTTTTGTACATTGGTGGTTGAACATCAAGATACTTTGTCCTAACCCACAAAATTGATCCTTTGATTGGATAAATGATATGATTATAGAATGCCTGATACCTGGACTTCTTGTATATTTCAGGTATGTACTTATCTACCTTAATGTCCATGCTTTTGATTTATCAATTGAATGAACACATGGGAACGTTGTGAGCTGTCATTTGATACATAAGCATACAAATTCCTTCAAGTGGATTGAAAACTTGTCTCTTGAATTTCTAATGTGTCTGACCTCAAATATGTGCTCAGTTGACATCATATAACATGTTACATTGAATCATATTACATGACCAAATGTGTCAAAAGCAACATATGAGGAACAAGTAATGAACATACCTACCAAACGTTGGGTCCTTGTACCATATAGTATATATTTTCTTATATCATAGTTCATTGACTATATCTACCAATTTAAAATAACTACACTTATCAACATCTTTTTTTTTTTAATTCTGAAAAATGTTCTTTCATATACAATTAGTTCATTATCCAAAAATGACCCAGCATGATGAATAAATGATGAAGGTATTTTTCCATTTTAAAACAGCGCTACAATTAGTTCATATGAACCCTAAAACTTAAAACAGCGCTACACAAGAACCCTAAAACAGAGACCGAAATTACCCAACAACATTAAAAGAAACCGAAATTACCAACACATAAAACAGCGCTACACAAGAACCCTAAAACTTAAAACAGATAATAGTTGAACACAACAAATCCTAAAACCTAAAATAGAAAACATATGAACACAAAAAACACTAAAACCTAATGTTTTTTTAAAAAAAAATTAACCTTCATTTTAACGCCATGTAAACATTACATAATCATTAACTTTGATTTTAAGTAACAAAATTAATCGACAAACGTAACACAATTTGAAGAAATAAGACACCAATTTATTTCTTTTAAAAGTTAATGTATTAAAATGGACTCCTACTCATGATAAAAAAATTAATCTTACTTTTATTTACTAATGCAAGAAAACCGAATGATTGATTTAATGTTGTTGTTTATATAATGATCCATGTGCAGCTTAATCAAAGACATTTCATTAGACATGTCAATTTGTCGTTTAGCTTGTAGAGAAATAAAGTACCACTCTCTTCTTTTCCACAACTGATCTGTAAATATGATTAGCTAGAGTAAAGCCAACAGCCATCATGACATTCCAATTTTTTATATTTAATTCTAAGTTTGAATAAATCATTGGCCATATTATTAATTTATTGCAGTTTAATTACTATCAAGATAAACATGCAAACCACCAAAACTAGAATTTTACACGGTCCTACCATGTTTTTGGGTAGAAATATCTAAAATGCCACACGTTTCAGGATATATCTCAAAATATTACATTTTTAAAAAATTTAAAATTATTGGCGGAAGCTTGCCGTCCATTTATTAGACGGTAGTGTGTATATTTATAGTATGCCGCCCATTGAAAAGACGGGAGAGTCCAACTCATAATTTTTTTTTTTACTTTTTCGTTTTATTTCTGTTTTAATATTATTTATATATATATATATATATATATATATATATATATATATATATATATATATATATATATATATATATATATATATATATATATATATATATATATATATATATATATATATATATATATATATATATATATATATATATATATATATATATATATATATATATATATATATATATATATATATATATATATATATATATATATATATATATATTAGTAATATTAATATATATTAATAATATTAATATATATTAATAATATAAATATAATATATATATATATATTAATTTATATTTATATATAATAATATATATTAATATATATAATAATATATATTAATAATATTAATATATATTAATATTAATAAAATAAATATTTATTAATATTTATATTATTAATATTAATAATATTAATATTAATAATATTAATATTATTAATATTAATAATATTAATATTTATTAATATTTGTATTAATAATATTATTATTATCATTATCAATATATATTAATATTATTAATATTAATATTTAATAATATTATCAATAATGTTAATATTAATATAATCAATTAAAGTATAATATAAATTTATATTTTTAAGACATAATTTATATTAATTGATATTATTAACTAATATTATTTAATACATGATGATTAATAAAACCACTAACGATTAGTTGTACCCACATTGGGATACCGAGTGAGGTTGTGACCTGTTTGACGACACATGAAACATTTCCTCTCAAGCTTATTAAAGTTATCCATTTTCGCTGTAATACGTGTGCTCACTGGACGACCTTTCTTGTTCCTTCGCATTCTTGGGCTATGGCAAATTTGATCTCCTTCATAAACGGGCCAATATTCATCGTACGGCAGCACTGAAAAGCTTGTGCTGTAAACCCCAAACAGGTTTGTAACCCTATAAACGTCGGACAAAAAAGCGTAAGCGTTGTGGCGCACATTCAAACATGCAGCGATAACATGTGAACAAGGGACACGATATGCTTGAAACTTGCTTGAAACTTTCCGCAGTCACACCACCCGTTCAAGAGGTCGACCTTATAATGTCCCATAGGCTTTCCCTCACCATGGTACATTGTCTCCTTCACACTGAAAACATTGTTAGCGTAGTTAAAAATTCTGACTTGATGTGTGCTAGATTTTGTTGTTTCTTCTTTCATAACCTTGAGGCAGTTATTTGTAAATGTTTGGCCAGAATTCAACACAACACTCCACTTTCCACCCCTTTCAGCAAATAAAGATCCCAGTCTATAATATGTTGCTCTTACCAATGTTGTAATGGGCAAATTACGTGTGCCCTTAAAGACAGAATTCATTGACTCGACAAGGTTGGTAGTGATGTGACCCCAACGTCGACCCCCGTCAAATGTCCTTGTCCATTTTTCGGCTGGAATATTGTCAATCCACCTTAAAGCATCTGCATTTGCCATGTCAATCTCTGATCGATAGTAATGAAATGTTGGTTGGTTTAAAGCGTATCCTGAATAATTAAAATATCAAATTAAAATATTGACAAAATAATATATGTTATTGATAAAATAATATATGTTATTGACAAAATATAATGAATATTAAGAAATATAGTTACCCATGTTAATTATTTTTTTCTGTAGGTTCTTGTCCTTGATTTCTCTCATAAAAGTTTGTGCAATGTGTCGGATAAAATAAACATGCACTGAAGGGGGTCATGCCAACCATTTTCTGCATTGTTGTATGCACTTTCAATTGATGCATGTCGGTCTGAAATTAAACATAGATCTGGTTGTGGCGCAACATGCCTCCTTAAGTTTCTCAGGAAAAAAACCCCCAACTTTCAGCGGTTTCACCTTCCACAAGGGCAAAAGCAACAGGAACCAACCAACTTCTTCAAACTTCCAAAACATCCCCTCCATGACTTGTAACACCCAACCACAAACATTTAACATCCCTCAACAAATATTTAACACCCAACAACAAACATTCAACCCAACACAACCACCTTATACCCCAAGGCAACATTACAATCAACCTTACCCATCATTTAACCCAACCCCCTTCAACATCCAACAACAAAATCTAACCTCATCATACCCCCAATATAATCAATACTCATTCTCTCAACTACCCAACAAGAACACAACTACCAAACACCCAAACCACAAGTTTCTTTTTACCCCACACAAAACTTCACCCTTAATCCATCTCAAGACCAACATCCATACACCCCCTACATGACTAGCATAATGCCACCTTCAAACCTACCAAGTTGGAGTAACGAGGGTACAAAATTAAGTTATGGAAGTGCGGCGGCGATACCAACTATGAACGATTTCAGTGATGATTTGGTCGCTGAATTCATGAACCCTAACAATGATGCAGCACCATCTACACAGCCCCAAAACGCTGAGGTTGATCGTAGAAGGTCCACCAGAAATGTACAAGTTCCTGCCTGTGGAACCCACCAACGCTTACGTCGACCGGGTCAAAATTAATTAAGGGTGAATAGGAATTTTTAGTTCATTTATTTTAATGTACTTTTTTATTTCAAGAATAAATAAATATTTATTTTAGTTTATTTATTATATTTTATTTTATAATTATTATTATATATTTTAATGTAGTAATTTATTTTAATTAGTACTATTTTTAAACTAATTATTTTTATTTTATTTTAATTTACTATAATTATCTATTTAATAATTATTAACTAAATATAATAAACATAATAAATAAAAACAATGTAATAAATATAATAATTAACTAAATATTATCTATTTAATATATTTTATTATAATATTATCTATTTAGTAATTATTTTATTTTAACAATTATTATTTATAACTAACTAAATATAACAAATAAAAAACAAAAATTAAAATGAAAAAAAAAAATCAGCAGCACATCACATTGCCGCCCATTGGAAGGGCGGTTCTCAAATCAGCAGCACATTGCCGCCCATTGGAAGGGTGAATCTGTTGCGCCAAAAACTGTTTTTTTTTTAAAAGCTGACATTTTGGAATATATGTGTAAAACTATGGCATTTTAGGTATTATCTTGTAAAAATGTGGCAGGAAAGAAAAAATTCCCAAAACTAACCCAATGAATCATAACTTATTATTATGTCCAAATTCCGGAAAATTAAATATACCTACATATGATGGATCAAAATTTAATTAAACAAAAGAAAATTCGTTTTAGGGTTAAATATATTTATAACCTTCATAAAATTTTAAAAGGTTAAATATATTTTTAAGCTCTTTAAATATCTCACACTTTATTTTTAGTCTCTATAAAAAAAATATATATTTTAATTTCTACAAAAATTTTATGCATGTAATTTTAATTCTTACTATTTTTAAAAGTTTTAAAAACTATTTAATTATTTCTAAATTTTTATATTTTTGAATAATTATTTTTCATACGGATTCAAATTATTATAAAATATTTATTTACTAAATTATATAATTTTTTTAAAAAAAAGAATTAAATATGAATTTTTTAAATTTCATAAAATAATGTTGAAAATAATGAAATTATCGACTTATAAATCAATTTTTGAGTTTTCTTTTCGAGGAATATTTTATAACGTTTTAAATATATTTGCAAAATAATCATTCAAAAATTCACATTTGTTTAAGAGTAGAGATTGAAACTACGTTCATAGTTATTTTGTAGGAACTAAATCACGCTATTTTTTTATAGAGACCAAAACACACTTTTTTTTTTTTTTATAAGAATAAAAAACAAAAATTGATAATTATATAAATTTTTGTTAAAAATGTTCACGCTAATGAAATAGCGAACAGAACAATATATCCGGCAAATCGAGCCCGTTTTACAAGCCTAGTTTTTTTTCCAGCGCTTAATGTGTTTTAATAGCCATTGCTTAGCAGATGCTATACTTTATAGTGGCAGTGGGAAAATACTGTACAATTCTATATCCATAATTCATGAATATGCATGTACTGTCACTATCTTTTGAAGACACTCACTAAATAAAATAGAAAAACAATGATTGATTCCACTTTGACGATCCTTCGGATCCCATGGAAATTGGGTGCACCCTATGTAACCTTTTAAACTAGCATAGGAGCTAGCTAGTTTTAAAGCAACCATAGATCGAAAGCAAAAAATTAAAATCAAATGAATACACATTCTTTGATGATTGAAATAGTAAACATGGGTGTGTGTGAGAATGGATATTGAAGAGGATACAAAAATATGTGGTGGGCCATGGATTGTATGTGGGGTAATAAGGCATGAACATCATAGGGATCAGTCATGTTTTGTTGACTGGTCAAATTTATAGGATCGGTCAAAGGAAACATTGAGAGGAGAATAAAAGTAAGAAAAAAAAAAAAGTAATGGGAAACTGTGCCAAACATATCACTAGAAACACAGAATATATAGGCTAATTTTGTTTTGTTCACTTAAGGTGAATTTCTAGAATTTTTTACGTTTATGCCACAAATTGAAATATAATACTCTAAATTGTCACAAGTTAGAAAAAAATTTCGGAAATGCCACAAACCTAGAAAGGGTTCGGACGACCCATTGAGACCCATTTCACGTAGCAAGGGTTCGGCTATTCATTGGCCGACCTGGTCTAGTTTTTTTTTTTTTTTTATTTCAGAATTAATTATATATTAATTTTTATTATTTTTAGTTTTTAATAGTTATTTATATATTAAAATGATTAAAATAATATTTTATATTAATAAAAAAATAAATTAATTATTTTAAAAAAAATAATAAATAATATTATATATTAATATTTATAATATATATTTCAATAATATTTAATTATTTAATTATTTAAAAAAATAATAAATGATATTATATATTAATATTAATAATATATTTTTGATATATTAAAATTATTTAAATTATATTATATATTAATATTAATAATATATATTTCACATTATATAATTAATTCTTAAATATAAATAATTATATAAAATATTAAATTGAATGATAAAAAAAGAAAATATTATTAATATTTAATAAGGGAAAAATAATTAACTTATTTTTTTATTAATATAAAATATTATTTTAGTCATTTTAATATATAAATAACTATTAAAAACTAAAAATAATAAAAATTAATATATAATTAATTCTGAAATTAAAAAAAAAAGAAACTAGAGCACGACCAATGGATGGTCGAACCCTTGCTGCATGAAATGGGCCTCAATGGGTCGTCCAACCATTGGACGAACCCTTTCTAGGTTTGTGGCATTTTTGAAATTTTTTTCCAACTAATGACAATTTGGGGTATTATATTTCAACTTGTGGCATATACGTAAATAATTTAAATTTCTAAATCTCAATCAAGGATTAGGCTCTTACCAATTTTTTTTTGAAAATTACTAAATTTAGGAAAGTTTTTAATTCTTCAAAATATATTTTTTTTAAATGGTTCTTCTGAAATTTTGCATTTTGATTTTTTTTTTATAATTTAACAATATTTTTAATAATAATTCATTATTAATTTATCGAAAAATTTTAATGTTAAAAACTAAAAATGTGAATGCAAAATCTTAAGAGGATTATTTTTTAAAAGAAATACTTTAAAGAATTTTGGATATTTAAAAGAATATATTTAACTCTTAAATATATTCATTTTAATGATAAAAAATATTTTTATAATAAAATAAAAAATTTAATTGATATACACCGATAATGTAAATTTTTTTACACTGTCAGTTAATTACAACCGCTGACTAATGTGAAATGTTTGACTTTTATTTTAACTACTTAAAATATAATATTAATGGATATTTGTGATGCATTGACGGTGTAAAAAATTTTACATTGACAATGCATAACAATTAATTTCAAAAATAAAATGTATTTTATTAATTAAAATACTTATATATAAATACTATTTTAGTGTATTAAAATATCAACTAATAACGACCATCCTGCGACACATCACATTTATATTTTAAATTTTTTTAATTATATGAGAAACCGTTCATTTTTTATTGAATCACAGTCTAAAACTATTTCACATTCTTACTCTCAGTGTATATCTATCACTCATTTTTAGACCATTTCTATAATAAATTGGCAAATTACGCACTCTAAAACTATTTCACATTCTTACTCTTAGTGTATATCTATCATTTTTAGACAATTTCTATAATAAATTGGCAAATTATGTTGAAACGGGACAATCAATGTTTATTAATATTTTAAAATGGCAAATAATGTAGTAATAAATAAATATTAGAAAACGTGAGAAAAGCGATGTATTAGCACTCCTATGAAGAAAAGAATCTAGTGTTCCCATTTCTCACTTCTTTCAATTCCATGCAGAATCTTTGTCTCTAGTTGAGGTTGATATGTCATCTACTCCCTTCAGTTTAAATATACTCCATAAAAGGCATAATCTATTTGATTAAAATTTGAATCAAGTGCATTTTAAAATTTGAATTTAAATTTAATAAATTTCAACTTTTACTTGTATTCTTTATTTAAAAATTCAGTATTTTCTGCTTACATTACAACTGTATAGATTAATCAAAGTCAAAAAAGATGTGTATATACTATAAGAGTATGATGTGATGGTTTTAATCTTATTTCAAAAGTGGACACACAAAAAAAC